ACCGCCCATGTCAGGACTCGCGGGGTCTAGGAAGGGCCGTACAGGGCCGTACGGGAGCGGTGCGGGCAGATAGAGGTGGCGGCCATTTCTCCAATTTTTGCGCTCTTTTGCGCTGCTGCGAGTTTGCGCGACGGGCCTTTGCTCCCGTCCGTTGGGACAGGCGAGAAGAGCCCACTTGGCCAAGCCCCGTTCCAGCAAACGGCAGTGCCATGCATGGACGCAGCCGGGTGAGAAGGACGAGCTCGCAAGCGTGGTTGGCTCCCTGGTGCGGAGCCTGGCTTGCTCGCGGTGCCGGGAAAAAGGGGAGGGGGGGAGTGGTTTGGAGGCGGTAAAGTTTAGAGGCAAGACTGGGATAGTCGGTGGATTTTTTTTTGCGCAGGCAGGCCATGGAGATGACGGAACTGGAGGGGCGTCTCTGGACTTGACTTGCTGCGTGGTGATGGAGTGGCGATGTGTTGGAAGGAAGGAGAACAGGTGGGCTTGTCTTTTTCCGGCGGTGGATAGAATATGTAGGTCAGTTGAGTCGCCCCCTCGCGGATCAACCGCCCGGGAAAGAGGAGAGAGTATGGGGTACCGAGTACAGGGTACAACGAGTCAAGGTAATCAACGAGGGATGTGGTGTTTGAACCCCAAGGAAAACAACACACATACATACATGATGGGCAGACTTGGGCCTCGGGGGTTGCGGGCTCGTCGAGACGGTGCCAGTGGCCTCTAGATCATGTCATGACTTGTGGCGTTTTGTGGCAGCACCTTCTGGCATCATGTTCTGAGAGTGTGTATTGTGCAAGAGACGAGAGGCATGAGTCACCAGACGGGGGCTCTAGAGCCGCATCGACCGACAATACGCTACACAATACACAGGCGGTTGATTCAACGAGGATCCCGTGACTTGGCGCAACGCGGGGCCCGGGGGGGTCCCTTTGCTGTCTCACGCGTCTGTCTGGTTGGGTCAAGAAAGCCGTTTGCGCGTCGACAAGTTGACCAGAGAGTGTTTCGGGGCCAAGATGAGACATGGGCCCGGATCTGGGAGCGTTCCTGCATGCCCGAGGTGGCGAAATGTACGGCGAATCGGACATGACGCAGGTACACGAACGAGCTGGTGGGCTTTTGTTTCAGCAAAGCCGTCCGTCGTCTTGTTCGCTTGATATTCGTGGCCTCGACGTTGCGGGCTGCCTTGGGGGGGGACCACCATGTGTTTTCTTCACACCCCCTTTGGCATCGGGCCCAGGGCACGTGGTTGCTTGAACCAAACGGAGCGAGAGAGTCCTAGATACAGCCCGTCTTTGGTCTTTGGTACTTTGTGCTCGGGGCGACTCCTGGTGGCGAAAAAGAAGGAGGAAAATAGTAATAGGGAATCCATCTCGTCAAGGCAAAAAGCGCACCCCTTGTCCGCCCTCGCAGCCGCGCCTCGTGGCACGGCATCTTCCATCGTACCGCTATTTTTTTTTTTTTTTTTTTTGGCACTTGGCCACGACACTTAATAGCCCACAAGGGTGTGTATAGATGCCTGGGCCGGCGAACTATTAGCAAAAGGGGGGCAAGGGAGCTCGGGGGGAGGGGCCAAGGAGCAAGTATCGCGAGAAAGGAGAGCCGCAAGCCCAATCACAAACCGAGCAAAGCGTTGCTAGCCTGGCTCCGAGGGCCTGGTAGCGGATATTGGCGAGGTGTGGAATGTAGGGGGTGGCGGATGAGTGTGGGAACTGGAATGCTGGTGATGCTTCTGGGAGCAGACAGGATCCTCTTCTCTGGGGCTAGCGGAGGGGGGTGTTTAGTCTCTTTTCTTTTACGTAGCCCCCGTTGGAAAAGCCGTAGCAAAAGACATACAACTGACGATGGATGTTGATGGGCTCGACACGGTTGTTGCGGGAGGAGGCTTTGCAGCACTCGCCCTCGGGGGTATTCCGTAGGCGAACCTCGTGGGAAACGTCTGGTTTTTGAAAAAGGTAGAAATCCCGCCTTTCCTAGACATCCCTTGGTACTACTAGTATGTATGTATGTATTCCAGTGACGCTGCGCCAAACCCGCTGGTGACGGTCTAGCCGTCCACCGCGGACGGGATTTCTGCCACTTTTGGTTCCCCCGTACGGAGGATCCGGCAACTACGTGCCAGACAATCCCATCCGGGCCGGACGGAAGGGGGACGGCTCGCCGCAGTAAGACGTGAACAAAAACAAAAGACACCACAGCAGCTGGCGCGGAAACTCTGACGTCTTGGGTAAGGGGCCCTCCGCCTCTTGTACGGGGTACATTTGGGCGATGGGCACACGGCCCGTGGGCAAAGCAAGATGGCTTCCTTCCCTAGACGGACGCCGGAGCCCACGGAGCGGCATGTCTGGTGTTTGTGAATTTCCTCGCGGTCACGTTGGACTTGGCGGCCATGGACGTCGTGTACTTTGCCTCGTTGGGCCCGTTCGGCCCCGGTACGAAGTGCCGAATATAGCAGCGCTTCCTTACACGAGGTTCGCCCTTTCCGGACCCCTTTTTTCTGTTCGTTTCAATAATATTGCCTTGGTAGGATTTTTTGTCCTCGACTCATGGAATCTGAGAAGCTGAAAAAAGAGAAGGAAAAAAATGTGACATAGAATGCCAAGCCGGCGACGACGACGCCGGAAACGGTCATGGACCCCCCATCCCTTCGAACCCGTGCCCTTTTGGGGGACGAGTTCGTAGATTCTGCCTGTTTTTTTTTTTTTTGTCCTGCCGTGGTATGATGTGCTCGGGAGCCCGTTGCGCTGGAGGAATTGGGATTTCCTTCCTTCTCTGGGAAGGGCGGACGGTGGTGGCAGCGAATGTAACGCCATCTCGGACGCGGGGAGTTAGCCGATGGGTTTGACGCCACGCTGAAGGGTGGGCTGTAGATCATGTGTTGCAACCTGACGGGGAAGGGCAAGTAGACTCACTCGTTCGCTGGCCCGGGGTAGGCATAGCAAAAGTCGGGCGGTACGTGTAGCCCTTGCCCGTCTTGCCGCGATGAGAGGGACTTTGCGGCGCACGGGGAACGGTCACGATGCAAGGGCAACGATGGAGGATGGCAGCTATTCTGGGTACATGTATGTATTCTTGAAGACTGGCGGCGGTGGTGCCCGTCTTGCCCGGCGCTCTTGGGTCTCCTGGAGAACGAACGGACAGAGCGCCGTCTTGCCACCGAGGTCAAAGCCCGCGCTGCTCTATCAGCTGAGCTGGCCGATGAGTCTGTCAGCGGCCAAGACGGCACTCGGCCGTGATGTTACAGCGCCGGTACGGTTGATCTGGTGCCCCTAGGTTGTTGGCCGTGGGGATATACTTCTGTGGCAGCGTACGTACTCCAGACGCCACTTGGGCCGGGAATATGACCAGTTGCAGCACAATGTGAGTTTTCATTTTTTTTATTTTTGTCTTTTTTTTGGTTCTTGGTGGTGAAGCCGCTGTTGAGGAGGATATGACAAGATGTGTTGTACTGGATTAGAAGTTGCAAAACTGTCGAGGGGATGGCCGGGACGCCGGGCATGACGGTCGGAGTTGATATTTGCTCTCGACTCCGGGTGTCAGCAGTGTGCTGGCCGCAGCATCAGAGACCAGTACCCCTTTCTACACGGCGACGAGATGGTATACACCGGTGTGCTGGGCTCTTTCCCTGCTCCGTTGGCCTTTGAAAGCTCCTTCATATGATTCTATTTCTTCCCGAGTTGTACACGGGGTCCCAGGTTGCCGACATACACGGCTCTGCCTCGAGAGTACAATGTGTTATAACCCCTGTCTTTTTCCCTCTCAATTCTTTCTTCAGGCGTGCCAACAATGCCATAGTCTGCCGTTCCCTCTTCCAACAGAGCACCGTGTCTCATCAGCACACAAGCACTCGAGCCGCAACGACCAAGGCCTCCCAGTCCCCCTAGTCGAATACATCACATTGCCGTGTACAAATACCGACTCGACTCGACGACAAGGCACATACAACGCGGCGCTGCGTCGCCCCGTCCCAAGACCAAAGCGGCGTCCAAGTTCAAACGAGGCACGTTTGATATTCACAGGCCCCCAACCGCACTCCCACACTCGTCCCCGCGGCCAAACGCTCCAACGACACGCCTGCCCTCCCCCGGGATGAACAGAAAAACCATCAACATTGTATCCTTCCAACTGTTCGGGTCAGCACCCGTCGCCAACGCGCCCCGGTCTGAACCGTCCATCGGGCAAACCTCCCCGACGGCCCGCTCGCCAACACGACGCATCACAGCCGGCGTAGCCAGCAGCAAAAGCCCTCGGCGATCAAAAATACGCCTTCTCCCGCCGGTAATTCCATCTACACGATGCTGGAAGCAGACCTTCCACGAGCCCTACGACCCCACAGCGGGGGAGGCGCGGCCTCATCCGCGGCCGTGAACGCACAATAAATCGGGAGGCTGGACCTGTCACGGGAGATTGCGGCTCCATCCGGGCCGCATACAGCCCGGTCCGGGCCCCTGCAAGGCGGCGAATCCTTGGACGAACCTATGTACATACAATAATGTAGTGCTCCCGCGCTCCGTCAAGCAGGGCCGTGTCCTGCTGTGTCTGTTTGGCGTGGAGTGAAGCCGCGCCGCGCGTTGGGCGGCCTTGCCTGCGGTGAAACCGTCCAAGCCGGTGTTTCGCGTGACACGGCAGCCTGTTTGATCTGCTGCCGCCTGGGGGCATGTGAGCTGCGGCAGTGGCCGAATGCGTCTTCCAAGAACTGCCGCCCTGTCCATTCTGATGCCAGGCATGCCCGTTCAAGAAGGGCCTTTATGCTTTGTTTGGCGCGCAGACTAGACATCGTACCTACCCTATAGTGAAACTTTTGGCGCGTGAGCATCACCACCATGCTTGGCGGCACCAGACGTAGACACTTTGCTGCAAGGACAAAATTTATACCATGGAAGAGGTGCAAAATTGGAATGCCATATGGGTATATTGCTTCCATTACAAGTTCTCGTATTGGCCGTCCATTCATTCGCGTCATGCGGTTCGGAAATACCACTCGAGACCAACAGGTGCGGCATCGGCCGTCAGAGCTGCGACGTCGAAATGTACTGCGACCCGTCGTGGCATTCTTGCTCGGCAACCCTGTACCGACCATTCTCGTCCCTCTCGAGCACAAAGCATCTCTCTGCAAATATGCCCCGTGCATTCTTCCTCCTCCACTCCGGGCCCATTCTCCGCAACATGACCCGGCGCCATCCGCCTACATTGATGGTGATGCTCTTCCACGCAAAGTCGGGGTTGCTCTTCTCCCGCAGCCGTACGAGGCAGGAAAACACCTGCATGGCTGATTCGTAGTCACGGTCCCGAGCCGGGTCGTCCTTCTCGGTCGCACGTAGCAGCGTCTGTACGTGGAGGATCAGAGTCTGGAGCATCGGAAAGGAGGCTATGCCACGCAGAAACTCGGGAGGATAGCACAGTGCAACGTCCATGTCCAGCTCGAGTGTGTGGACAAACGGCAGGCCCTGCCCCAGCCTTGTGACGTCTTCGGCCCGCAACGTCGGGCATTCATCATCATCGTCTGTGAATCCGACGTGGTCGCGAAAATGAACCTGTCGAAGAGAACCACCATGCTGCAAAATAGAATCAATGTGGAATAGGTTGGTATGGCAGGTAATGTCCAAGACTTCCAAGGCTCTGATGTGCTTCCTCACTAGTAAATCTAGTCTTCGGGTGGCCTCTTCTCGCCCGTCAGAGGCGTGTGCCAAGCTCTCGTGTACCTGCAACCTCGTCAGGTTGCACAAGTCTGGTGGAGAAATGGAATTCAAAAAGTTCAAAACAGGCACAGAAACAAGAACGAGAGATTTCATTTGGGACAGGTTCCAGTGTCTTTCTACCTCCTCTGCAGAGTGTGACCAATCGTACGATTTCAAAACCAGATTGGAAAGCGGTGGCAGACATTCTCCTGCAGAAAACGTGAAGCTGGTGCCTTGGCCCAGGTCCTCATAATGCAGCGTCTCCAAAGATGAGCACTGCACTAAAAGACGCTTCAACGAATCTACTTTTGTCGTCAATGGCGGTGTTGGTCTGGCGAGTTTCAATGACACCAGGTGCCTTGTAAATGCGGGATCAAGCAGTGACGCATGCAAGTCACTTTGCGAGCCTCCCAAGGGGAGATTTTCTATATTCACCTTTGTATTCTGAGTACGTAGTTGGTCGTAGTCAAGGACATCGTGTATCGGCCAAGTGCTTGCGCCATGACTATCGTCCTGCACGTAGCATAGGCTGTACTCGAGTGTTAGATATCATCTGGTCAGGCTTTGATTTACATTACTTCAAGACCTCACAGGGACGTACGTGACGGAAGACAGTCTCATTACACGAGACAAAATTTTCCTTATGCCAGAAGGCTTCAGGTTGTTTCGAACAACGACATGATTGGTATACGTTGAAATATGCTCCAGCGCTTTGGAAAACAGCGTCTGGGCATCTGGACGCACAATCAACTCGTTCAACACAACTCTTCGATACGCGATTGGAGTTGCTATAGAGTTGAATAACTGAGAAACGGAGCGGACGACAAATATCGACTTTGCATCTAAATATTGAAGCTTGGGCCACAAATGCTAGTTAGCTTGGAACAGTGTGGCTGCATTCGTGCTCGATCTACACCAGAATCATCATAACCATGCAGGATATCGTTCTCACCTGTTCCAAAACTGACATGAGAATCTCCGAACTAAGTCTTTGTATGTATCGTTGCAGAATCCGACTGCAGTTCCGAGGCGAAAGGGAGCCCCGGCCAGCAGCGTTCGCCTGACGAGGTGTGTTTGAGCAGGATGGAATGTTGCAATGTGCCGTTGAATGGCCATAGGTCGCCACAGGCAAAGACTCAGAGGAGCCCATGGTATCAAAATAGCGACCAAAATGATCAGGTATCAATGATTAGTACAGGCCGGATAGTAGGGACGGTTTGTCAAGTCGTCACCAGACGGGCAAGACTTGACAAACCACCAGTTCACAACCTTGAGCAATTTTTCCAGCCCGGTACCAACAGAAGGCTACGCGGGTACCAGTCTGATGTCCCCTTCGGCAGGTATGTGCGCAAATAAGCAAAGGCAATCGGCAAGTTGATGACGGGTTTGTCAAGGCTGTCAGCTGGCAATAAATGAGAGCCCAATAGTGGCTGCAGCGGCAAGACGACACTTCTGACGACTCGACCAGGGTTGCCTAGCGCTCGGATCCATAGACAAGACAGAGTATGAATTGCAAAATGCCAGTATCAACGCCGTTCGGGTGGGGTTGATAATTGCCAGATGGTCGTCAAGACAAGATAATGTTGGCTTTGCCGACGCCGGACTACTAACTAGAATAGCAAGCCAAGATTGTCAGCACAGAGTCCTTTTCCGTCTTGAGAAGCGCATTTCTTACCAGTCACTTAATGACAAGACTAAGAGCAAGGAAGCGATGATCGGCAACTTAGATTGGAAAAGGCAGTGTTTCCGGGGAGCCGGGTCCCATATATGAGCTCGACACGATGTGTTCACCGGACCAGGCAGGGCTGCGACAGGTGTGGAGAGACGCAGCACGACCTACATAGTTGCTAATCTGCCATCCTGGTGGTGGTGGATTTGGGGTGAGGCAAAGACAGGTGGACAGCACGAGGGTCGTACGAGCAGAGACATTAACTAGGCTACGGAGTAACGGTTTGTGAGACCACCCAGCTCCTAGAGTGGAAGGTCTTGGGTATCAAGCCGTAATAAATTGACAAAATCCCCGGGATGGTCTGGTGACAAAGACGATTTGCTTTTCAGGCGCCAGGCCCAATCAGTTATACCCAAGCCACCAGGCATGTCCAGTTGGCAAGGCACAAGTGGGACGGAGAACGATACGACTGTCGAACTGGGATTCGGGCTAACGAAGGCGACGGGTTTCGGGCCGCCGGGGACTTTAGCGATATCCAGATGACGGTCAGAGGACTGACCAGTGCCAGATATCAATGAAGTGGCGAAATAGGGACAGACTTCAGCTTAGACCGCTAACGGCTCCAGGAAAGGCCGTGTAACTGCCTGTGCATTTCTCATGAACCCATGAACCCAAACCCCATAAATCACGGGTGCGAGCTGCCAGAAGAACACTGGTCGTCTCTCGCAAGAAAGTCCCAAACAGGAACTCTCACTGCCACAACTGGCCAATCAGGTCCGGCATGTGCCTCGCTGAGCTGTCGGTGGGCTTGACACTGGCCAGTGACAACACAAGCACAACCACTACCCGAGTCTGAGATGAATTCAGTCGTAGAAAAGACGGATGAAAAGAATTCAATGTTGTTTTGGCAATACCAGAAGCATGCATAGGCCCGGAACTTTACATGCGATGCAATCTTTCTCGAGTCGACGTAACTAGATCAACTGCCGATCGGTAGAATTGACGATGGAAATGGGTCGGTAAGGGCGGAGGGTGGAGGTTTGATCTGAGCCTGGCGCCACATGAACGCAGTTTGTCTGGCTGGAGTGCTAGCTCGCAGTGTCTCCAGTGAGACGGGAGCACCAACAACCAGACGGCCAACGGCGATGCAAGCCAGAACCACGTCAACAGATTCATGTGTGTGTCTCTGTTCATCTGAAAAGTGTTCAGCAGTGTGGGAGAAATGATGTCGTGCGCCAGACTCTTGGCCACGGAGATTCCGGCCGGGCAAGCTCACCCCATGGTATTGAACCCGATTCGCAATATAATATTCCGTACGCAACACATGGCTATCTTGGCTTTGAGGACGGTGAGCCACTTTAGGACAAGGTCAGCACCCAACGGCTTTGGAAGCTCTTTGTAATCGACTCACCTATCGAAATAGAGAAATAGCGTCCGACTAGGCAGCATGTTTTGCATGGAAAGCCCGTCGATGGAGCACCACATCGCTGAAATGCGAGACGTGACTAAGGCATGATTTTGGCTCAGCCTCCCTACTTGTCGTGTGTCTTGTCCCTTCTCGACCAAAGACATGCATATGCATGTGCAACTCTTGGGCGAGCACGGCACGAGGACACTGTGACTATCAGGTCAATTTGAGGAGTTGGGCGGATGGAGCTTGGAGCTTGGAGCTTGCGTTTCTCTGTCTAATGTACGGAGTATGCACGCATGGATGCGTCCAGTCCATAGCACCTGCCGTAGTTCGCCGTTGTCTCCACTTTTATCCGTTCTGAGACCTTCGCTCCTTCCCTTCCACTCGAACTCTCCCGCCCTGCACAGGCGCAGCGGGAAGTGCCAATGTTGCGACTGGCTGCGACGGGTGCAATATCACCCCGCCGTCCCAGCGGGAGAGAGCACCTAAACCAAGTGGCCAAACACATTCCATTCCATCCAAAATCATCCAGGACATCCAGAGTCCGAAGACGACCGGACGCTTATTGGTGTCTGTACGAATCGGCAGGCCACCATCTCAACCTTCGCATGGCTCCAACGTTGTCCGCTGTCCTGCCAAGTTCAACCGCTTGCCTGCCAGGCTGTCATGTCATAGTCACATTAGGTACGGTAAGCCTCGACTTCATCGGCTTTAAATTTGACTCTACACTATGCCGCCGCGCGATGTGAATATCCAAGACAACTTGCCCAAATAAATCGCCAACAGCTCGGTCAGACCAATGCCGTCGTGAAAGACTTTTGGCCTACATCCAACGTTTAGCAAAGTGCCTTCAATTGGAGTATCCACCGATCCACCCATTGCACGCTGTTCGGCACATGTTGTGGAATCACACTAGAACCCACGAGAACTCCTAGCCCAGGACGTACGGATATGCTCGACAACCCGAAGGGCCGTTGGATTTCATCAACTCTTCCCCTCTCCAGCTACAATTCTGCCGGCACGTCCGCTATAAAGACTGCGAATTTAAACACATCTCTGTTATACACTAGCCTCCATGCAATGCTCTCAAGAAAGCTAGCACAATCTGATGAAACACGCTATAGATGCCTTTGAGCGCTTTGCCAGGTGTAGTTCTTGCCAATAATAACCAAATGACCCTCGTCTGAAGTTGTATCAAAAGCAGAAACATTAACAGAATGGGGAATCATCATCTTTTTTTAAAAAGAAAAAAAAAAAAAGAAAAAGAAAAAGTCAAGTTGGCACAAAAATGCCCAACAGAATCATGAATCAAGTCATACTCTCCTTGATACTCCCCTTCAAGAAGTGCAAGTTTCACCGAAGACTGACATGGAGAAGGTTGACGAACCTGAGCAACCAATCACAGCTACAATCACTTTCTACAGCGAAACTCTGCATGTGCGCGGTTATTCCTTGTTCAGGGGGCCCTTGCCCTTTGGTGCTGCCTCATAGATATCGTCATCGTCGGAGACGCCTTGATGCCTGTTATGCGGCGGTTGCTCTTTGGCCAGCCCAGACCGAGAGCTAGAACTACCCGCACTGTTTAGAACGACATTGTTACTGGACAGCGGCCCACCGAAGCCAGGGTGAAAAGGTTCATGCGGAAATTCGGACATAGGCTGTGTTGACGAGCCACCGGCAGCCTTTGCTTCTGCAGGATGCGGGTCGGCAAAAGGATCTTCAGTCGATTCGTCCTTCAGTGATTGGCGTGAGCTCGATGCTACTGCCTCCCCATCACCAGTGGGAGTCAGATGGTATGACTGTGTCTGTTTCCCCTTTCCTGCATCTATTGCCCCTGTTGTCACACCACCAGGCATTAAGCCTGTCTCAGCATTGTTATGACGTGCATGGCTTTCGGTGTCTGAATTGTCTGACAAGACAACTGGAGAATTTTCATTGGTACCGAGGCCAAGCTGCTTCCTGGCATTCAAAACTGCCCTCTTATGCTGGTTGAGAGCCGTCTGCAACTGCTCATTTGTGTCAATGAGGCTCTCCATAGTTTCGTTATCCGGCGCCGGATTCTCAGAAACCATGTAGCCCTGCAGGCTTCTAGATGCACTTAGACAGCGATCGGCAAATTCTTTAATCAGCTCATTTTGCAGCATTTCGCCCGGAGAAGTGTTCATGACGACCTGCTCCAGAAGTTTGGCCGACGTCCGTGCCTCTTCAAGTCTTGATGAGAGCTCAACAGGGTCAGGAAGGCGATTGTTATGGTGGGCCTTGGCGAAATAGTTTTGAGAGTGTCGGTTGAGCGGCGGCTGGTTCGTCGTGAAGGGCCGTGGAGGCAGAGGTGGCTGTCGATTCTATTTTCTCCCATTAGCAAGGTATACGGCCCATCATTCACCTGCTAGCTAATCTCACCCCATGTTTCTTTATGGCAGCCTCCTTCTCCTTCTGCCACATGAGAACCAACGGAGCTAGGTTCTGGTCGTGCGCTTTGGCATATTCAAAGTCATCCAAGGTTTCCATTAATATTTGCCATACGCTGAGATCCTTGACATTCTTCAGCAAAGCTCGGATTGTGTCGACAAACTTGTCATCCAAATTCCTCGTGAAGGTTTCCCCAGGGTTATCGGTCAGGATTCGGACAAGCATTATAGCATTATACTGCCAGGACGGCCTTGAGCTATAATCTTTGCTCAAGAACTTGCGAATAACACGGGCACATTCGGCTGCGGCAGCCGGGGAGGATTCGGCAGCATCGACGATGGGGGGGAGGAAGAGAACTTCATCAGTCTATTGACAGTTGTCTTGGTCAGTTGCCATGATTCAGACTGCGGCGAAGCACCAAGAGTGAGAATTGGCCAGTGTATTGCATACCTTGGAATTTCCGCCAGACTCGCAAAACGCTTTCTGTGGCCGTTGGGGTTACGGTCAGCGACGACAGCATTCGGTGTCATGTGGTGGGGCTCTCTGGACTTACGACGCTGTTGTGAGCAGTGACCTCGGGGTTCTCAGCGTGTGTCGCAGCCGACGCCGGGGGAACGTTCGAGCTCCCTAAGAAAAGACCAAGTCAGACCAGCGGCTCCTCTTCTGTCTTCCGAAGTAAATACCAAATTATGTTGAGTCGCTGGGCCGCACGCTGCGCAGGCCGACGGGTATGCGCAGCATGCATCGAAGGCTGCGCGAGGTGGTCTAGATATCGAAACAACAGCAGGGACTTGCTTACCTCCAGCCTTCTTCTTGATACTCCCCAGCATCTTGTTCATGCTGAGGCCCTTCATAGACTTCATGCTGACTACTCCGGGCTCGCACGACGAGCGTTGGTGGACGCGCGCGCAGAAAGCGAATGAAGGTAGACGAGACGTCGGTCGAAAGTGGTTTCGCTATAGGTATAATTGCTCGACCTTGGATTAGGCGGTATAGCGTAGATAGGTGTAGAGAGGGCGAGTTCGACGAGAAATAGAGGTAGGACTAGGGACACATGGAGGGTGATGAGGCGGGAAAAAGAAGAGATCGCGATTGTCAGATGCGGGCAGGCTTAGCCAAGCCAGGGTCTCTCTCGATGAAGATGCGGTGTTGGCGGGCAGTCGCGGACCTTGCGGATCAATTGGGTGGCTCAGAGCTGTCACCTGTCGGGCTGTTCGCCAGGAGGCGGAAGACTGAGTGGGCAAGTGACAGGGGTTGGTCCCTTGGTTTTTGCCTCGAAAGGTTTCCGGATGGCGAAGGATCAAAGTGGTTGAGTGGTCAAGTGCTGTTTGGCTTCAAGCCTCGTCTGCGTCCGCAATGCGGGCAAGTGTGGGGAATTTGTTGGGTGAAGAGTTACGGAGGAGGAGATGATTCAAAGGATCAACGACAGGGCACGCCGCGCCCGCTGGTGCCGTGCGAAGAAGTAGAGAATGAAGAGTTGGAGTAGCAACACGGTGTTGTCAAAAGAGCATCGAGGCGAATGATGGCGGACAACAGACTTGACGGCGGTGCACTGGCAGTCTGGGTGTGCTTTGTAGAGAGACGGCGGGATTATCTGATTGAGCAGGGGATGCCAGGTGGCAGAACAGAGGGGCTAAAGCCAAATTATTGTTTCGACGAGACAACCGCAGTCCAGAGTGCCGATATGCACAAGAACGATAATTAGCAAAAGCCAAATCCAGGCTTATGCTCTCCAGTGTCAGCCAGCGGACGGAGTCGATATGGCATGGTTCAAGGTGAGCACGCGTTGACGGGGATCACGGGGTTGATCTGGGTAGATGGGGTGGATGGGGCTGATCAATCATTGATGGGCCACACAGCATGTAATCCAAGACCCTGGCGGCAGCCCGCACTAGCGCAACGCGTACAAACAGCACATGTACGGAGTACTCTGTAGCTGTCGACATCTGGAGTTTGTGGCTTGTGAGCCCCTGTCTCACTCTGCGGTGACGTTTCAATGTCGAGTAAGTTTGTTTCCCGCTGGCTACGCATCGAGGCAAATAAACTACCTTGGTAGTATTGCAGGTACTGCAGATACTGCGTGCATACCGAGTCCATCAGCTTGGAGGACCAGTTGACAACGTGGTGAGCCAGTGGCCGCGTCCCAGCCACGACTCGCGTGCGCAACGCATCATGCTCCCACGGGCAACTTGCGAGTACATCCCACCCACGTCACCGCACAAAGCTGAGAAGCACAGCCTCCAGCTGCTACGCAATCACCTAGCCTGTTTGGCCACGCTTTGTCGAGTACGTAAACCATGCAGGTTTGAACGCACGCATGACTTTGGGCGGGGATGGCTTAATTGGAGGTGCAAGCATGGACGCGTTGGCACCCACAAGATTGCTTTCTACCTACGTAACCCCGAGGCAAGAAGCTTGGCTTTGTAGACCGGCGGCCGCGTGTAAGTCTGGGTGACAACTCGCGAGTTAATAATACCACCATCGCACGTTTGTGCCATCTAATACCTCACTCGTGACATCAAACATTACAGGAATACTGGAAGCCTGTTGATACATATTCCCCCCATGCCCGGTACTCCGCAGACAATATATATGTTAGCCACGGACTCTTCCGGCCATCAGTCACCACTCTCACCACTCTCATCCTCGTCATCGCCCAACACCTCCTCGACTATCAAATTGCCCGATTTGCCAATCCTTTCCCCCAGCGTGGCAGTAGTGCTGGCTTCATACACCACCCTCGGCAGCGTCGAGGCTATTCTGAACAAATACTTGTGCTCATAAGCCTCGGGGGCCTCCACCGTAGAGTCATCTGAGTAGTCGTCGTCATCAGCTCCGTCCTCACGGCTCCGTATCCTATCGTAGCATTCCACAAAGGCATAAAGCTCCTCCACCGACGCGTCCTGCGGGAACCTCCTGACAAGGCGACCCGCCCCTGACCCTTCGGGCATCTTGAGGGCGACACGCACCACGTCCTTGTCGCCTGCCGCTGGTTCGGGGAGCAGCCTGGCCGCGCGCCACGTCTTCCATTGGTTGCGCTTGCTCTCAAGCAACGCGGCATCGTGTGCCTTTTCCCGCGCCAGTGACTCGGCGGCTTCTGCGGCCGCGGCCGCCTCTCTTCGCTGGCGGGCGCGTTCTCTGTCGATGGCGAGGGAGCGCTCGTACGCCGAGTCTTGCTCGTTGCGGAGATTCCTGGATACTTCCTGGGCGGTGCGCTCCGCTCGAACGCCGTCAAGGTCGGAGCCGTACTTTTCAACCGAGTTTTGCAGCTCCGACAGGTAGGTGCTTGTCGGCATGGGGCCGACGAGCCGCTTGACGATGCCCATGCGGGTGCTGCCCTCCCTGGGCGTCAGGCAGACTAGTGCCGAGAAGGGAAATTTGGTGCATGTGTATTCGGTGGCTACCTGGTATGCTTCTGAGTCTAGCACGTTCCCTCCCCAGAGAATGATGTTGTTTGTGGGGTCTTTGATGTAGTCTACTACGTCTTGTGAGAGGAGTGTTTCCCGAATGAATGACGCAGTGTCGTCGTGCTCCGGGGACAAGAGAACAACCAGAAGAAACTTGAGCTCCTTCTTGGCTAGATCATGCGCCTGGGCCAGCCCGCCCTCGAAGAAGGGGAGGTCGTTCTGGCCGTACTCTTCGTCGAATTCGCGCTTAAATCGTGCGGCCGTATCCCGCGGCATCAGCATTCGGCGGCCGCTCGTGTCCTTGAACCCAGACGACATACGGCTCGTCACGGAACGGGGTCGGATCGACGCCGGCAGGAAGGACAGAATGTACCAAAATGTCCTGAAAAGCGTCGAGGCTGCGCGCCATCCCCAGCCAAATGGGGCGAGAAGAAGGCCCAGAAGCCATGGCGAACGATGTGTTATCGGCGGCTGAGGTACGATTCTCGGCGCGGCGTCTGTTCGTTGTCTTGGCTGCGATCGAGGGGTGAAGCCTTCGGCCAGGAGGCTTTCCTGCAAGTTCTCGTGTCTTGCTGTCGTCCGAGGGACATTTTGAGCGGCCATAGCTTCGGCTACAGGGTCGGGGCCCTCGCCGTCAAAGAACTTGGCAATGGCGATCTGGAGGGGCATGTCAGGCACGAGAGAGTAGAGTTGAGGGTTTCCAAGGAAAGATGCCTGTCTAGGGACGATCGAATGCTTACTTGTACGTTCCATTGTGACCTTTGCAGTAGAGGGATTGCCTCCTTCGGCTCTTGGTTGGTGACCTGGATGTACTGCTGGAGAGCTTCCTGCTGCGTAGTGGACAACTGTTCCACGTCATCATCATTGAGGTCTGCCATGGCGGGTGACGGGTGACGAGCTGCCTATGCGGCCATCAGTGTGGTGGGGCTAAACGTCTCTGTTATCGTGACCATGCGAAGGGAAGGGCGACGGCGACTCGATCAGGATTTGTGGCGTACGCTTGAGGTTTGTAACTTATAAGTTTGAGTGATGCGTGCTGACTGGAAGCTGTGAGACAGGCTGGCTTTGAGGAGACAGCTTTGGTGGGGCAAGGTGAGCGGAGGCACGGAGTACCTTCGGTAGGGAAGCGCAGGTACCCCAGAATACAGACACGGCTCTGGATGGAGTTTAGTTGACGATGCAATCTGACTGGGTACTACTCGGGCAAACGTGAATATATGCCGGCGCCAGTTCGTTGGCAAGAAACATGAATGTGAATTATGACAGGTTCGTTTTCTTTCTCTTCTACGAGGCTCCTCGGTCAATCATGGTACGGGGGCGAGGCTGCGTTTCAGCTCCCGCAGGTACATACAACCTCCTCTACACGACCAACACGGCGTAGATACCCTATAGCTCAACGTCGAACAGAGAACGATGGAGTTGATGGCTTTTGCCGCCGTGACAATTTTATGCTCCTGCATGGGTTTCTGTTCCGCGGGTAGTTATTTCCGTGATTCTTATTGCGTGGAATGAGGAGGAATGGAGATCGTCGTTTGCGACTACTGCGTACTGCTCGGCGCGAGTACATCCAAGGTCAGAAGATGGAAGCGCGGGGCTGCAGCCATTAATGTAACCTCCTCGACTGCCGCCAAACACGTAGATTCCCGGTAGTACTTGCTCCATGTATGCCCAGGGACGAATATAATGGCTACCAATTGGTCATGGTGAACAGCAAATAGCTGACCATCATCCATCAAGGCTGTGCGCCTATCAATCACATCTTCAGCCCAGGGCCAATTGCCTCCTGAGTCATGCGGGCGTCTCGTTGCTGCCGCAGGTGCCATCGGCCTCTGGAACTCACCACTGATGATGGCCCCAGTTGCGCCCCTCCCAACTACGGCATGAATTGGCTCTGCCATGTGCCAACCGCTGCTCCGGCCCACCATCGCCATCTCAACGCTTGCCTCACCTCCGCTCCCACTCTCTCGACGCTGCACGCTGAACAACCCGCCCCCCGTTCCTGCCCATCGTTTGTAAATGGGCGCAAGGCCTCCGCCGCCAATTGAGCCATGGCTGATGACTGCTTCACCAAGGTAAGTTGACCTTCACGCGTGCCCGGCTCTACGTCTCCTCCCTACACTCGTGCTTGAGCAATGCTGCCTCTCCACATCACAGCCTCGACTCCCCCGCCGCCGTCATGGCATGGCATGGGAATGCTCGCGCACCTGGCACGCGTGTCGCTTTGCCCAAACCCGGTGCCCTCTGTCGTCGCGAAATCTCATTGACATGGTACAGACGTCGTAGAAGCGACCGCAGGAGCTGGAATTCTCTCCTTGGTTCACCCAACTAGACAATGGCGGCGTCGCGATTCGCGACTTCGGATCTTAGGCGCCCAGCCGGTTCAGCCTCGTCTCCGAAACCAAAGGGACGCGGTACGACACTACCACCCCGTGCTTCTCCTTCCTTGAATGGAAATG